AATTGCTTCTATTCAAAGCAGCAACTCATGGGAAAAGTCGCTTAGTGTGTGCGCACGTGTTTGTTGTTTTTTTCACTCTATCTCTCTCCCTCCTTCCTTCACTCAACTCAAAAACATTTTCATTCATGCCAGAGAAGAATGGTTAACGAAAATCCCCCCAAAGGATACGTATTGTAACATCATGAGTAGCTTAATTATGTGATACGTATAATCTAAACAAATTGATTTTTTCATTTGCAAAAACTGGCGCCGAAAAGACATAAATTACAGTTAAGGAGGAGAACAAAACACGCACTTTTTTCTCTCTCTGCGTCGAATAAATTTCTATAAACTGTGTTTGTAAAGAAAGTCGTCCCTTTGTGGCTATTTTGACAGGTCTGCGAATAAAATATATTGTTTAACTCATGATGGCCGTTCATAACCGACTCGCACTCCGGTCGGTCGGTCGGTCGGTCGGTCGGTCGGTCGGTCGGTCGGTCGATGTAAATACAATCTTTTCTCTGTCGTCAAATAAGTTTACCAAGTTGCTCCGCATTGACTGAACATTGTGCTAAGAATTTTGCAAAAGATTTCATTGTTTCATAAGATTTCGGCTTTCAATTTTAAGTAACTTACCCATTTCCGTTCTTTACCTGACAAATTCTCCCAACGTAACATTTTCGATGTATAAAAACCGGTCTTTATGATATAGCAAACGTTATCCTATCTGCGCATATGCGCTTAATTAGAAGCGATAATCCCAAAAGCATGAAATAAAATTTATAGTGCAAATGATACAATCAAAGCTAGTGTATTTTACTAATAAAGTGTCAATCACAAAACTCTAGTTTTTTTCGGTTCGTTTTTTTTTCTGGTTCGACCCAGTTTGTCACCGTAAATACATCAAAATCCACTGAAATTGCTGGCAATTACATAAGTTCTATATCATTCACGGGAAAAGCATCTACACAAATCCACATTTTTCATGGCATTATGGCTGAGGTTTATTAGGCCTGAAATATAAAACTTTCTGGGACACATTCGTGCCATAATGAAAATCCATAACAAATTTTATTCAAGTTTAATATCACATTTTTGAACTACCATCAAACTGCTCAAGTCGCATGGATATGCATATATAATATATGTGAGGGACGGAGAAAAGAAAACGCTCTAACGCTCTCGCTTTGTTCCGTTTGTGAGAGAATGTGTTTGAATGTTTACGCTGGTACACTGATCACCGAAATCGTATAAAACAAATAAAATTTTATATATCATCATTTGCATATTTTCAAAGCATTTCAAAAGCAAACAACGCGCAAACGAAATGACATACAAATGAAAATGGAATCGCTTAAATCGATGTTTCCATTTGCATTCGTCTTTCTCGCCCGTTCACACATTGGCTTGGATGAACAGAGATAGCAGAAGGCTATGGATATAGCAAGAGGGATAGAAAGAGATAAAAAGGTGCGCGGCTTTGAGTTCGGTCGTGTATTTGCATTGTCGTCATCACATATTTTCAATAAAATCTGCTCGGATATGTTGCTGATGTGCGCTGCATATCATATTTCATGCAATTTCAGCCCATTGATTAAGTTTCGCATGGGGATGCTTTAATATTTGTTGTTAATGTTATACGGTCATATATGCAAAGCGTGAGTATGTGTGTTTGTGTTTGTTAATGTGCGTGTATTAGATTAACATAATGGAGGAAAATATAGATTAAATGCAGAGAATTCCTTGATTCGAATTGTTCATACATGCAAATGGAAAAGAATTGGGCCAAAAACATGCAACTATGCACTATTTGACTTGACTTTTATCTTGAATGCGAACGCCAATAACGTGTTAATCGACATGTCACTTCTTGACACCTATTAAATGCGCCAACATAACTTTTAATTGCAAACCTATGTTTTATCTAACTCAACCGAATCCATAATGGCCCTACATTTTTCCAATCCGAATCATTAATGTGATTTTTCCAAACTCACTTTCGATTTTGCGATGATCAAATTCCTCCATTGATATCTTCGACTGAAGAAGACGACAGAATATCGCATGAACGTCGGCTTTTAAGTACAGTACAGGATACACTGTATAAGTTATGCAAATATTCAATGTCACATTTGTGCCGTGCTTTTTCTTTTTCGTTTATTTTTTACTTGAATAACAATGCGCGTTATGATTTCGTTTTCTTTATTTATATCAAATACATTCATGTATGCTATTTACCATTTGTTTGTGTGTGTCTTTTTCTATCTGTTGCCAAATCTCATTTTGGTACACAAACCGAAGGAGCGACGAGTTTTGAAATCCATTAAATAAACATTGCACACAATCTAACATATTGTGATGCGAAGACTCGGAATATGCATGAAAAGTAATAAGTGCAGAAAATAAATGGCAACACCAAGCAGACTACGGGAGCAGAAAACAAGACCGCAGAGCTTCGCTTCGCTCCGCTCTGCGTTCTTGAGTTTTTAATTACTTAATCTATTTTGTTGTTTCACAACAAACTATTTTTTGGCGCACTACATGAAATGTATTTCATCAAAGTAACTTTGAAGTAATATATAAGAAACAAATAAAATGTATGATAAAATATAGTTTGGAAAAATAAAAAAATTGTATGTCAATCTTTTATGTATATATGAAGTGTTATATATTAAATCTTCATTAGTGCACCGGTTTTAAATCAAATAAAGAATATGAGCATATAATTCAAATTCACCAACATTTGTTTGAGTAGTCAAACTTGACCGAGAAAAAAAAGCAGATTAGTAGCTCTACATTTCATGTAGTGCTAAAAAAACAGAGACGAAAACGAATCAAATAGAATGGAAATGAAAAAGAGCCAAAAAAACGAATGAAGACAGAATAAGATTGAAATGAAAATACACTCGCTTCCGTAACAGGTTTTCTCTCTTTCCCCCTCTTTCTCTCCATACAACGAGATAAAAACGCGTCAAATAAAGGCGGCTGTATGCTTTTTATCTGTGAACAAACACATAATATTCATAATGTTAAGCATTTGTTGCGCATATATACGTATGCCTGTGTGTGATCAGGAGAAGGCACCAGTGCACAAAAAACGCACCACTCAGAACACACAAAAAAGTGCCCGACACTTTTTTTCTGCTTCAAATGTGGGTTATGATGAAAAAATTATGTCAAAATTTTCATCGCCAAGCTATTGGCGGTGTCAGTTAGTGGAGCCTTTTCAAACGAACCATTTCATTTTCTTATGTGGCGTAATAAATAACATAATTCATTCGTTCATTCATTCAATCTCAATTTGGTTTATTATGACTTTTTTTCTATTCTTCATTCTCTTCATTCATTCTTTCTTTCGGTGTGCACCGCATACTCTTCATTTTTAAGAACCATTTTCTTTGTGTTTCCAGATAAAATGAGGAAATTGTTGCTCCGACCTACGAATGACATCGATTTTCCGTTCGTATTTCACACCATCCACCCCTCCCTCATCCACTCGATGCTGTCACTGTTCGTTTCGTTTTGTTTGCTTTATCTTATTTATCATAGAAATGGTGTTTGTGCATGATAACGAATGAAAGATGATGACATATAAATAAACGGTATGATTGAGGGTCAATTAAATTGTATTTTGTGTACTTTATTCGGTAGCGTTCGCATCGTTGATGCATGGTTCACCCAATAATTTGGTCCGATTAAATATGGTTCAAGTACTTTTTGCTGTGTGTGTGTGTGTGCTGCCGTACCCAAACAACTTCTCCACTCTCTCCACACCGAAAAAAAAGACAATGAACATTAGTTATCTTAACTTTCTCAATTTAATTGTTGTGGATAAAGTGGCAAGCAAGAAAATGTGCAGTGGCACTTTGCGCTACGACTTAATGTTCCTTGACCCAATAATTTTGTCAACACACGAGCGAGCTAAACATCCAAACACCGTATGCGACAAAATACCACGAACTCACACTAAAAATGAGCGAGCGAACGAACGAACGAACGAACGAACGAAACGTACATAGTAAATACCCAAATCGAATGCAATAATGAAAGTGTGGCGAATTTTCGAAGATGCTATAAATTCAAATGACATTTGATAAACGTAACTGAATTCCGTGTGATTTGGAAAAATTGCTTTTAGCATGCTTTGACACTCGACACTCACGTAAGCTTTATGGGGGGGATGCACTACTGTCGTTGCATGGGGCAAATTATTTTAAGCACTATTGACACAAATGTGACTTACTTTGGAAATCGAATGAAGGACAGGAAAAAAAGCGAACGAAGCGGAGTTTACCTCATCGCATACAAAATGCAGTTCATGTTTGCTTGGAACCATTTCGAATTAAGTTTCCGCCAACTGTAGGTGTCATTCAACTATAGCAAATATAGGTTGGGGCAACATTGTCAATATGTCCCTCTATTTTCACAGGATTGACACATTGATCCATTTTTTTCCCTGTCAAGTATAGGATCAACTATAGCAAAAATCCGATTTTCTCGGTCAAATTGATTTATTCTATGCACACACACAAGCGCCTTGAATTAGTATCTCCGTTCAATTTACATATTTATAACAATATGCAAATCTTAAGTCGATGGGCATTGGGGAAAAAAATATATATTCAAAATACATTGACTGTAAATTGGCTGAGTTATTTGGTTCACTCGTTTTATCCCTCATTCTTTTCCCTGTATTTGTCGTTGTTTTCTCGGGTAGATGGAAGATGGTAGGCCCAAAACAAAGGCCGTTTCGGTTCAAGGGATAAAATAAAAGTAAAAAGTTGATATAATCGAAAAATGAATATGTGTCTCACTGAGAGTAGACACACGTTAAATATAACCACAGCTGAGAATACTAATCAAACAGGACTTCGACTAAGATTCTTCTTACGTGTTTTTGTATTCGCTTCTTGTATACTCAGTGTGATCAGAGCCGGTCAGGTAATAAATATATGACCTATGACAAAACCTGTTTCTCCTCCATGCATCGCATCGATGATTTTAAATTTTTCTGTTCTTTCTGCCGTTGTATTTTGTCTTGCAATTTGCAATATCGGCACATTCGATTCAGTCTTTCGACGAGAACACTTCATCAAAACACATTTCGAGGACGGTACTCGCAGTTGTTGGTTATATAACAATTTATCCAAAATGAATTACTATTTTGTAAGCGTTTTAGACACTAAATAGTGTTTGTTTATTGTTTTGCTTTGTGCTTGTTAGTCAATAGTTGGGTTTATTTGAATATATTATTTGATCATAAAAGTAAATATTATTTAAAGTTTTCAGTGATATTCATGGCAACAACTGTTGTCCATTCTGCACCACTGGAATCAATTCCATCGGCAACGTCAACGTCAACATCAATACCAACAGAAGCGGCATATCTTCCACCAGTTGAAAGTCCACCAGAGATTAAATTTTACGAATATACACCATCCGATGGTGGATACACGTACAGGTAAAAGGAACTGATCATACAAGAAACATACATTTGTTACATAAAAGTACAATCAATTTAATTTCGTGGTAAATATTCTGTGATTTAGACTTTCGTTAACCAATTCTGTGTTTCGAGAGGAAACATTCGAAATCCGAGACAAGGGAACGCCAGAAGAAGAAACATTTGTGAATGGGCAGTACTGGTTCAAAGGCGATGATGGATATAAATACTACATCAAATATACTATCAATAATAATGGAGTTCATACCGAAATTGACCGGACACTTATTCATCGTATTCCACCGAGTACGCTGAAATCCCTGGTCGGCTAAAATGGTTGTACATCCAACATCTTCCTGCCCTTTCGTAAAATTCACAGTGATGGTGAATGTATTTGCTATTTCTTGTATGCAATTCGATTTTTTTTATTGTTTTGTAACTGAGAATAAATAAATGAATGTGTGAAGAACCATCGAGAAGAGAGGAAAAAATCGCAAACTGGTTTTTATTCAATAAGTGCGAGAATGAGACGAATATTGAGTCATCGACATAGTGATCACAGTGAAGGTCAACGGCACATTGAAAACGAGGTAAACAATCGACTGACTGTTGTATTTCTCTTTAATTGTCTTTGAGACGATTGAATGCTGCAGATCCACTCATTAGCTGATAATAATTTATCAAATAAATAGATATTTTTTGCTACGCAAGCTATGGCAAATGAATTCGTTCTTCAAACATTCGATGATCATTAATTTTAGGGAGAGAGACAGAGAGAGAAAGTAAAAAGCATATTTCTTTGACAGCATGTTACGTACAGTCTTAAAATTGTTTGTCTTAATTTGCTATTTGTATTGTAAGTGGTGCGCTCTTGTTATCGCCCCGTAATGGCTCCGGAATGGTCACATTCAATAATAATATGCACTTTAACTGTCACGACAAGTTTAATGATTACGGAACGAAAGTACAACAAACTGTGCAGCAAATTATAATGATAAGCTGTCTTGGCAAAATTGTTAACGAAAAATGAATTCTCTCGGCTTATTTTTCGGCACTCACACCATTTTGTTGTTGTTGTTGTTGTTGTTGTTGTTCGAGGGAAGTGCATGCAAGTTTCAAGAACCAGATGCCTGTTGTGTACTCTTCCATCCAATCAGAACACACACACACACAGACGAACCAAGACAATTCCCATGACAGTTTAATGAATGGAAATAAAAAAGTCAATTTCACTTTTTGATACTACTTTACGAATTATTATTTGCCGTCATCACAGTAGACAGACACAACAAACTTGTGACTCCTCCGTTCGAGTTGCAACAACTCAACGAACACTGTAAAATTGTCAACTGCAAACAATAGTAACATTCAAGTTGCTCTGTCTGATATGCACATTGCACACTGAGCCATGTTACATCTTTGACCTTAGCACCATGATGATGATGGTGTCATCTCTTGATTTCACCGATATCAACTGTCTGAAGATTTATCATCTTTTACTTCGGTCGGATTGGTGTGTGGCTTTGGTGTAACGTAAAAAGTTACACGCACCTGCTTCACCACATTTCGATTTAATTTGGATGCATTTTTGAAAATAAATTTTAAAACTCTGTAATATTAATAATAGTAATCATCGGGTATGGCTATGGTTCCAACTAACAAACTTTTTTATGAATGAATTTAACAAATTCCTTGGACAGTATACGGTGAATGAAAGTGTGACATAGGAAAAGGTATTTAACAGCTCATTCTCTGACATTCGAATAGAGGAAGAGAAAGGGGTTGAGAGAGAGAGAGAGAGAGAGAGAGAGAGAGAGAGAGAGAGCAGTGATATATTAAACATTTTGTAAAACAGACATTTTCAACTAATCTGAATAACGAAATAATTGAATTAAGGTGATTTGGTTTTGTGAAAGGTTCGACGATAATGAATATTTTGGATTTTCAGAGGATAAAAGTTTAACGGAGGCAACGGGATAAACGAACCATTTCCGAATCCTTTGTCTTTTCGCTTTGCTGCATATTCGTTTCCTCTATTTGCCAACGGTTGTATTCGATTCGGAAGCGGTCAGAATTCGGTTTTCCATCTTCGTAACTTCACCTCAAAAATTTGCTCAATACAAACGAATGGAGTGGGAAGCGTACAGGTTTTTTCGTTCCTCTTCTTCTCGTGTTCAATATACTTCTTCGAATTTATTCCCATCATGTGAACCCATTGGATTTGATTCGCCTCGTATAAATGGAAAATCGAATGAGCTTTGAAAAAAAAACAAAAGTCAACATATTTGACACGATTTAGAATTCTATTACAACACAAGGGTTAGGCATATTTTTGAATGTTGTTCATCAATGATTGCGATTCTGCTCGACCAATGTCTAGGAAACTGAAATGCCTCAATTCATTCTTGTTTTCCTTTTTATTCAGTTTTATCGGAATCTTATCTAGCTCTCTGCCGATACCTAAACCGATTTTTTCCAAACAAAAGAAAATGTACATGATATTTCCGAGAAAGGAGAGGCCTTGCTGCTCATTGTAAATGGATAAACATAAATGTGGTGAATCGCACGGTCTTCCCTCATATTTTGTTGGATTCTTTTTTTTACAAATGGCTACTGCCTTACAGAATACGTCATGAAAACTATATCAAAACCATTGCTTCAATGTAAATGGAATGGCGGATGGGATTCGATGAGCGAGCGAGTAAGTGGTTCGTGGTATACCAAGAATTGGACTAGCATAGTACTTTGACACGTGAATAATTCAAGAAAGTTGAGTAAATGAATAAATGAGATTGGGATCGCCAGCACCCGGTCAAATTGTCGGTTCGTCTAGACTATAGAGAATGTTTGGGAGATATTAATTCATATATATATATATAAAAAACCTCCCGCCATATACAATGTATGAGCTAAACGATAGTGTTTGCGTGGCGGTTAGAAAGAGCCTCCATTTATTCATTGTGTCACTTTATGCGAACAGTAACCAGAACAACCAAAATACCGACAATCGATCCCAACGAGAACAGCGTAAATTGGTTTCGTTTGTTCCTTGAACTTTTATTCAATCTATTTTTCTTTACAACTCCCTACAGCCTTTTGCTGAGATTGATAAGACAGCGAAATGAACAAATTCTTGCGCAGTCTTTTTGGTGGAAAAAAGAAAAATAGAACTTTGCAGCCATGAAATTTGGTTTTCTAATCAGTGATCGTTGTATTTCGTACGAAATGAACATAAATTAAACACTCGACCATTTAATTTTTCAACTTGGAATCAGAATCACTTTTTGCAAAAGATTTCATTTTTTTCTCTCTCTCTCTCCCAGAAGTCTATCGTTTTTCTAGCTCAAGGGAATTAGTGTCTGTCTCACATCAAGCGAATCACATGTTTTGAGTGAACGAGTTAGTGATGTTCGCTGTGTCGAAAGTTTTGGCTAGAGCCTTCATAGAGATGGTTCTACTACAAAATTTAAGCGTAGCTTTCTTTTTAGAGGAATATTATGATGAATTAATTCGTATTTCTAGTCAAACGAAAAATCTGCACTGTCGAACCATTGTGTCGAATAACGAACCTTTAATTGGCATATACAAGTAAATAAATCATCAATTTTTCTATATTCGTTCGTTGATGTTTAATCAATTATTCAAGCAAAGAGTCGGCGTATTCGACATGATGATGTCGACATGAATCGAACGAGTTCGAAAGCGTTGCGCTGTTGATGAAAGTTTGCTTGAGTCAACAATTTTGCTAATCTATTATTGAAGAGAACAATGAGAGTTATTTGGTTGTTGCTCTTGTTGTTGCTGTTGCTGTTGTTATTGTTGTTGTGTCATAATCATAAGTTCGTTGCTTGCCCTTTTTTTTCATTTCAAATAACAAATAAACGGTGAAGCCATTTTCTTCCAAGAATCGGGCTAGTACTTTGATGTTGAAATTATGTCGGATTGCTGATTATTCAGCGCCAAAAATTTATTAAATCACAAAAGTGATAACCAGCGATGTCTGCCATGAATAGAAATAGAAAAAGAGAGAGAGAGAAAGAGAGAGAGAAACAAAAATAAAGCAGAAAAACAAAACCATTAACTCGCAAAGCTTGCAGAAAACGGTGCTTAGTACGACGCAGACGTTAGAAACATCTGCAAACAGCATCTTTTGCTGATTTACAAACGCATCCAGTGTATTGACTAGACGAAGAAATCGATTTAATTTGAATAAATTTCAATTGATTTATATTCCGGAGCGTACATCAAATTCCAAATAAATTTCACACCGATCGAGAAATAAAAGCAGCGCAGTCAAATGCAAATATGATAAATGACTCGGTGACAGCGATTGGCGTGTTGGCCCAGAATGTTTGTTCAATTTAGTCATATTAACCGTTGACGTAATTCTGATTGGTTTCACAATGGTATTCCACCATTCATTGTGTAGCCAATTTTGAAAAGAGAAATGGCAATTTTTCTCCTTGCTCTTCTATGGAGTAGAGAAAATGAAAATAAATAAAGAAATCTGCCCGAACAACAACAACAACAACACAATGCTCGAGCGATTTTGATTTGGTCGGCCAAGAGATAGAGAGATGGAAGAGAATATATACATTTTTCATAATCATAAATGTTTAATGAGTTTGCACCTACAGCATCAACAATTCTGATTGGACACCTTATCAATGGGTAATAAATATTAGAGCTTTGTCGAGCAAACACATTGCAGGTAGCGGAACACAAGCGCAAGCATACGTCGTCCAATTCAAATATTCATCGGCGTGTGTGTGTGTGTGCGATAAAATGTTGCTGAAAAGGAAGCATCCCCTTGAATGCCTTCGAACGAGAGACAGTTAGCGGCGACATAATGACAACGGCAAACCTTCAAAAATATATTCATCTATCCATCCATCTATTTATGGATATACGACATGGTTGCGTCGGCATTTATTGCCGTTACCTGAAAACTTGGACAGATGATTGTTCAATTTGTCATTCATATTCGATTGAAATTTGCTTATGCCTCATTTATTTTCGAGGCTCAGAGACGAAATAAATCGCAAATAACAGCCACCGGTGTCAACAGCACAGTAAAGCAAAAAGGAAAAGAACGACAGAAAAAAAAATACCTCACACACACGCGCCAGAGAAATATATGGCAGAGCTGCTTTTCTGCGGGTGATTGTGGTTATTGAACTTCATCCCATTGTTTGCTATAGAATAAGCCATTGGAATCAATGCGCATCAAAAACTTCTCACAAACGATTCATGAATATTCGGTTTGATTGCGTTCAACCTTTTGTACCAACAACAACAACAACAAACGACAGAAGAGAGAGAGAGAGAGAGAGAGAGAGAGAGAGAGAGAGAGAGAGAGAATTAAAGAAAAAAACCGAAATGATACCGAAAGAAAAAGAAACGGAACCCACAATCGAAAAGAAAAACATTTGGCACACAACAAGATTTATCTGTGCTACTGTGAACTGACTCAATGAAAACCGGCACACAAA